GACTTCTCGCCATGTTTCGATCAGCTCTAGAAGAATTGGTTACCCATAAGAATGCGTGTGATCTTCTTTCAGAATCTGAAAAAGTGCGAATATTTGAAACGGCGGTGTTTCTTGCCTCTGAGGTATAGCCTCGGTTTAGCAGTACAGCGAAAGAAAGCGGTATTGATGCGTATGGCTTCCGATGTAACATTTAGGAGTACTGTGCTAACTCCAAGCATGCAAAAACGGCTCACACGAGGGCATCGCCACCGTGTCACAGCAGATCCAGCCAGCCGCAGCTGACGAATTTTCAGATGCTGCGCCAGGCGATGCCAGTGTGCCTTTGCAAGTCGGTCGTGCAACAATTCATTGTGTTCAGCGTCATGCTTCTCAACGACAAATTCGTTCATCAGTTTTACGTCAATCCGGTGTGCACCCTGCTCCAGGCTCGTGTTTTGCTCAGTTCGAAGTTTCGTGTTTTACCCTCCGCCGAAGAGTACCGGGGTAAGTCTTGCCGGCTGCAGTTTCCTATCCGGTGTACTCGTATAGTAAAGGTCTTATTCATCGTCTTTATTTCGTTTCCTTTCATTTCACAAGTTCTGTCACTTCTGTACGTTGGTGTAGTTCGATTCTTATCAAGCATAACGAAATGAGAGGTTTTATTACGAATAGATGCACTGGTCCGTGAGGCTTATCACTCTGCGAATCGTGTATTTAAAGACTTGTCAAGTTATGAAGCAAATAGTCAAGTAAGTAAGTGACGAAGTATGTATGTAAGAAACTGAGGAAGTAAAAGTAGCTAAATGCGTGATAATTGAGTACTGCAGTAAGTGGTTAGATAGTTACGTAAGCAAATGAGTAAATAAAAACTGGTTAGAAAGTAGAAACGTGCCTGTGTGTGCGGGCATATGCGTGTAAGAAGCTGAGTGACGGGGTAAGTGAGTAAGGATAAATAGAAACATAAATGAGTAACTGAACTTGGAAGTGACAGAGTAAAGACGTAGGCGTAAAAGTGAGGAAACAAATACTTAAGTGATTGTATTAATTTTCACTACTTTCTTGACTGCTCCTGTTTCAAAAGTTAGCCCGTCCTTTCTGTAAAATTTCTTTAAGTATTGTTGTACATTTGCGTGCTCGTCTTTTACGTCACAGATGTTTCGTAATTTTTCTCTACCATACGATTGAATTGTATACTCTATCCTTGTGTTGTAAAAGAGCTTCTCTGACGATGACTTCTATGCCGTGAGCCAGAAAGTCGGAATAAATAAAAGAGTATATGTCACATCTATAGCCATTTGCGCTGAGAAAAAATGAGAAGGAATTAGGAAACAGACCTACAGTAAAAGAGAGTAAGTAGAAGTTACGAAACATTCAGATGAGTAGATGCGTAGCATATGGAAGCCGTCAGGTGGCAGAGTACGCTCCCCGTACTAGTGTCATCCGCGTACTCAAGGTCAGCAATATATCAAGCCAGATACACTGAACTGCCTTTTCCCTCTAGAATGAAAGCTTCCTTTTTTCCAGGATCAGCACTCTATGGAAGAAGAAGGCCGAGAACAC